CCCCAGTACCAACAAAACAAAACACCCCACAACAACAACACCTCACAAAGCAATGCTAACTACATTGGCACTCAGATCCAAAGAAGGGCCAATAAAAAGTGAGCTCACTAACTGTGCGTTACCCCATAACTCAGAGGAAATCATTCTTCTAGCTTCTGTGAGAAGCATCTTTTTAAAAATATATATACAGTTTTGTTTTGTGGAATCAGGGATTGAACTCAGGCTCTTGCCAAGGAAGCACTTATTCCACTGAACCATTTCCCCCACCTTATATACATTTTTTATACTTTAGATGATTTACAAATTTTTGGATGCCTGTACTTGCTTTGGTAGCACATGTGCAAATTTTTAGATGCTTGTAAACCAAAACATCCAACCAAATTCCTTATTTAAGTCATTTGGTGAATCTGTTCATTTGTTATGCCCACAAATACTGTGCAAGAGAGGATAATGCTATGCAAAATGCTGTTACTAGTACTATGTATTCTTTTTTTTTTTTGGAACCAGGAATTGAACTCAGATCCTTGCATTTGCCAGTCAAGCGCTTATCCTTCTGAGCCATCTCCCGGCCCTAAAATGCTGTTACTAGTGCAAGAGAGAAAACTTATGCCAGAATGCAAAACTATGTCTTCCAGCACACTATGTAGTCAGGTTGATTATTTCCTTGATGAAACAGGGCTCAATACATCCTGGTGGAAGGAAGCTTCTCGTCACAGACCAGTAATAGCTTTCCTAGTTTTAATCCACATTCTAAGGAGCATATTTGCTCAGAATATGAATGTTTATCTCTTACATTAAAATAATATGTATAAGAAAAAAAATTTTGTATGCCTAGATCATAATATTAAAAGGTATTATTGGGCTGGCAAGATAGCTCAGCAGACTAAGCACTGCTTAGGCAAGTTCGATTCCCAGCACATGTTGTGCTGGTCCTGTCCTCAGGTGTGCTAAGTCATACAGTCGTGAGCACGACGGCCCATGCCTGTAATCCCAGTGGTGGTGAGGCTGAAAACAGGAGGATCACTACAAGTCCAATCTGCATAGTGAGACCCTGTACCAAATACATTTTTTTAAAAAAAAGGTATTACTTAAATCAGACAGGTAGATAGTATTCTCAAAAATGTGATAAAAGAAAACACTTGAGTTGTGGGCCAGTCAGATAGCTCAGGGGACTAAAGCACCTGCTTAGGCAGAGCACAGTGGCCAGGTTTCATGGCTGGTGTGCCATGCTGGCCCTGCCCCTGGGGTGCACTGAGACAGTGAATGAGACTGGGCGTGGTGGCAGATGCCTGTAATCCCAGCACTTGGGAGGCTGTAAACAAGAGAATCATTACGAGTCAGATCTACGTAGTGAGACGACGTTGTACACACTGTACTGAAAAAAAAAAAAAAAAGTCTCATTGAGCTGGGATAGTAATTCTACTACTCTGGGAGGCTGTGCTGAGGCAGGAGGATCACAAGTGAGCACAGCATGGACAATTTAATGGCCAAAATTCTCAAAATTAAAAATAAAAGCCTAGGAATATAACTCAATATAGAGACCTTGGGTTCATTCTCCAGCACAAAAACAAATCACAACAAAATAAGGAAACATTGGAATCTATGAAGCTATAAATCTATATATAGTGACAATACAATGTATCACCAAATTGCCCTCATTTTTGAGAGTGCTGATAGCAATAATAAAGATAGGACACAAATATAAGTCAGGACTGTTCTGGGAAAATATAAAATTATGATCATTCCAGGCCCCCCCCCCAAAGGTGAGAGTGCACAGAACTTATTTATAGAATCCCAGCAAGATCTGTAATCCTAGGTAGGGCACAGCTGGCTTGCACTTGACAGCTAGCCCCGCACTCTACCATTCACCTACATGTGTGCATACTCACAGATGAGAGGTGGCTTAGATGGAGAATTTCAGGAATGTTTCTAAGTTATTATAGAAAATACTTTTAAGTGATAAGTTAGTGAGGGAGACTTGCCTGTTTCTGAAGTTTTTAATCAAAGGAACCACAGCTGTAACTATTTGACATCATGTTGGGCTCAATACCCACAGAATGGTGTTAACTTGTGGCTGGCTCAAAAGCCAATATTGTGGGAGAGTGGGATCCCTCACCCACTTAGCATTAACAAGATATTAACTCTGGCTTTGCCTCCATTTTATTTATTTATTTATTTATTGTAGTCTTTTTGAGACTAACAGCTGTTTTCTCTGGAAAATGCTAGGCCTGTCATAAGAAGAAACTCATTTTCCTTGGCGAACATTTGGGAACTTTAAAAAAGTAGGTGTGGATAGTAAAGAGTGTGATCACAGATGGCCTGTCACTCAGCTATGCACTTGAATGGTGAGAGTGATAGAACCACTGGTTGGGAGAAAACCTGGTTTCCTGGATTTAGCCCTCAGAGAAGAGCTGCTCTTGTCTCTGCTACTTCAGGATAGGGAAAGGTAAGACAGGGCAATCCAGCTTGGTACAGTCAGACTTTCTGTAGGAAGCCAGTAAGCAGCATTGACAGTATTTTCCTGAATGGGGAGTTAGGGGAAAGAAGAGGCAAAATGAAGCAAATATTTTTAGGGCTATTGTGAGAAATAAAAGTTAGAATATTCAAGTAACTAGCTGTGATATTATGCACATATTCTGGTATATTGTCTGGTATATTGTCTTCAGTTTTCACTTGTCACTCTTCTGAGCCCATAGAAACTTGAATTTCTCTTCCATAAGATGAGTTATAAAGTTTCTAGTCTCCTACCCTCTTTTTGTCTTGGTGCTGGCCACAGATATTCTTTAAGGGCCAGGGAGATGACTCAGTAGAATAAGCACTTCCCTGGCAAGTGCAAGGGCCCAAGTTCAATCCCTGGTTCCACCAAAAAAAAAAAAAAAAAAAAAAAATTTAATCTACATCTGTCTGAAAATAGGCCCTAAGATCTGCTTTCTTCCATAGAGGTCTTACCCCATACTTTGGAAGAAGGAATGCTGCAGAGAAGGTAACAATGCTGAAGTACCAGGCTTGGTGGTACACGCCTGTAGTCTCAGCACTCAGGAGGCTGAGACAGGAGGATTGCTGCGAGTTTGAGGCCAACCTCTGCTATAAAGGAAGTTTAAGGCCAGCTGGAACAGCACAGCAAATCCCTGCCTCAAGAATGTTAAACCCACCAAGAATGCTAAAGCAAGGCAGGCCTTGCTGAGTTTCCTTTTCCAGCCTGTTGGCATTACATGAGTAATCAAGTCCTCATAAAACCTTTGATAGGGCAAAGGAGACTCCATTTTAGAAGTTACTTAAACTTCAGGTGAATTCACTTCACAGCCCCTTTTTTCTTAGTTAACCATAAAACTCATAAAGGAGAACAAATTGCTAAGCTAAGGAACAAACAAACTTTAGGTAAGCTAAAATTTAACTGTACTAACAAACCCCCGGGAAATGTAAGACATGTAACATTTTTGTAAAATTCCAATGAGGCAATGCAGTTACCATGGTTACTTGGCAAATTATAAAACCCCTATACAAAATTCTCTGTCAACATTCTCTGATAATGCAACAGATTATTGTCCTACTGGTAATTAATGCCTTGATTGTTCCATTTTTAGTCTCTTGTGAGGGCTTATCTCAATGAATTTTGCTGCAATACCCTAAATAACCAACCAAACTTGAAGTTTCTAGGTTAATGAGCATCATATGGATTCCTGAAAGGTAGTAGGTACAGAGAAGGCACAGAAGCTCTGTCTTTATGCTACACTTTGCCCAGTGTATTACTTTATCTGCAGCCTATGTAACATCCTTTATAATAAACTGATAAATGTATTCCCCTTGACAGTTTTGGTGTGGATTTTTTGGACTTGGACTGAACTCAGGGCCTGCACATAGAGCTACATGCCCAGTCCTCATTTTCTGAGATAGGATCTCACTAAATTGCCCAGGCAAAGCTCAATTTTATAATCCTGCCTCAGTCCCTCAGAATGCTGGCATTACAGGGGTCCACTCTTGTTACATCCCTGACTTCTGTGAGCCATGCAACCAAATTAACTGAACCCAACCAAGGGGTCCTGGGAACTCTGATTTATAACCAACAGGCAAGAAGCCCGAGTAAAACAACCTGGGGCCCATAACTGGCATCTACATACAGGAAGGTACAGGGAAAAGGCAGTCTTAGGGACAGATCCTTTAAATTTAGGATCTGATAATATCTCCAGGTATACAATATCAGAAGAATTTATTTAGAGAACACATAGATATTATCTTTGTTGCAGGACTGCTTGTTTCCTGATGGGGAGAAGTCCTCACAGCTTTTAAGGTTACAGAAATATTCTGTGTCGATTACTGTGTGAAAGTAGAAGAGGTAAAACATACATTATTTTTCTTGAGCGGTAGTACATTAAACCAGGCTGAATTTATTTCTTTTTGTTCTACTGGGGATTGAATATAGGGCCTTTGGACTGAGCTATATTTCTTTTTATTTTGGCGGAACCGGGGATTGAACTCAGATCCTTGAGTTTGCCAGTCAAGCGTTTATCCTACTGAGCCATCTCCCCGGCCCCGACTGAGCTATATTTCTAACCCTTTTCTGAGATAGGGTCTCACTAAGCTGCCCAGGCTGGGCTCAAATATGTGATACTCTTGGTTTAGGATAACTGATGTGCACCACATCTGGTCTAAATCATGCTTTCACAATCAAACACTGATTTTGATGTAATGCATGTGCGTGTGCATAGAGAATAATTCACAGGTATACTGATTCTCTATAAGGAAGAACGAGCATTTCTTTTTTTTTTTTTTCGGAACTGGGGATTGAACTCAGACCCTTGCGCTTGCCAGGCAAGCTCTTATTCTACTGAGCCATCTCCCTGGCCCCGAACGAGCATTTCTTAAATACTCTTTGTAATCACCCATGTCTCCCAACTCCACAATCCAGCACCAGTGTTCTTTAAAGTCAAAGAGATATGCCACATCAGGTAGGTTCCAAAAGCTGGCGTTTGTTCTGGGTTTCTGTCAGACTCTGCCCTTACCACTACTTAGAGAATCTGCACTCCCGGGGCTGTGTTGCCTGGAGACCAACTCAGTCCCTGTTTTTCTCATCTCTGTATTTTCATTAAATCGTCTTTTCCAGTAGTTCAGTTCCTCCCGATCAGATTCCTGACAGCGCCTGAGAACTGCCATGGAGCGCCTGGTTTTTTCCACCATTTCCATTATGCAATTCAGGGCCTGAGCCAGAAAGAAAGTCAGAAAGAGATAAGATGAGGAAATTCAAATAACAAATATTGAAAATCAAAGACATGCCAACACAGTATTTAAAAAAGTTTCAGATACTTTACAGGTTTAGGAATACCAACCTTTTATTTAAAAGACTTCCTTTATCCTTCTTATTAATATGTATAGTCACCCTGCACTATCCATGGGGGTTTGGTTCCAGGACCCCCAATGGAAAAATTTTGTGGTACTGTAGATTGAACCCAGGACCCAGAGCATACTAGGCAAGTACTCTATTACTGAGTTACATCTCTATCCATGTCCCCAAGTCATGGGTGCTGAAAGTCCCTTACATAAAATAGTGCAGATTTGTATATACTCTGTGCACAGTCTCCTATATACTATAAGTCATCTAAGAATTACTTATAATACCCAACATGTAAATAATTACACTATATTATTTGGGAAAAAATGATAAAGTTTGGACACGTTCAGTACAGATGACTTTTTAAATTATTTACTTATTCATTCATTTATAATTTTTGAGTCAAGGTCTCACTATGCAGTTCCGGTCAGTCTTGAACTTGCAGTGATCTTCCTGCCTCAGCCTCCTGAGTGCTGGGATTACAGGCATATGCCACCATAGCTGGCTTTATTTTTACTGATCAATCAATTAATTAATTTTTTTTAATATTTATTTATTTATTTAGTGTGTGGCCAGCTCAGCCCACCAGGGGGCGGGTGGGCTGGCATGTGGTGCTGGGGGATTGAACCGAGGTCCCTGTGCTTTGCTTGAGCTTAGCTTGTTCTAAGTAGGTGCTTTAGCCCACTGAGCCATCTCACCAGCCCCAATTAATTAATTTTTTAGAGAGTGTCTCACTTTATAGTTTAGGCTGGCCACAACTTACCATGTGGCTCAGGCTGGCGTCGATCTCATGGTGATCATCCTGTCTTAGCCTCCAAAGTGCTGGGATTATAGGTATGTGCACCGCATTGGGCTTTTGAAAAATTTCACAGTACTATAGATTGAACCCAGGACCTAGAACATACTAGGCAAGTACTCTACTACTGAGTTACATCTCTACCCATGTCCCTAAATTTTCTATCTATGGTTAGTTGAATCCCCACGGACAATTATGTGCACGCGCGCATACACACACACCCACACACACAATTTTCAGGCACATGTTCCTTAATAGCAAGGGTATGTTCTGAGAAATGCATTATTGGACAATTTCACTGATGTGTGTACATCATAAAAAGGATGAGTTTACATTAGTCTTTTTAAATATTAATCTTTGACTTCTCTAGGTAATGTAGTATAATTTTACAGATCAAGATTGTAGATGTGGCATTCATTGAAGGTTAGTATGCACACTGACTTTCATTTTTTGGATTCCAAAAATCTGCTTTTCAGATTCTTTAAGGTTGAAGCAGCCTCATAGTTTTATTATAAAATGGCCCATTAAAGCCTATGATCACATCATAGTAAATCTACCTGAGTAGACTGACAAAACTAAGAGATTTTTATAATAATTTACTCAGAGAAAAAGACCAGGAACAATGATCAATCAAGAAGGAAAAGCTGGGGGCTGGTGAGATGGCTCAGTGGTCTAAAGCACCTACTTAGAACAAGCTTAGCAAAGCACAGGAACCGTGGTTCAATCCCCCAGCACCACATGCCAGCCAGCCCCACCCCCTGGTGGGCTGAGCTGGCCACACACACACACACACACACACACACACATAAATAAAATTAAAAAAAAAAAAAAAAAGAAGGAAAAGCTGGACCAGGGAGACTCAGTGGTCTAAGTGCCTTCCTGGTAAGTGCAAAGACTCGGGTTCAATCCCTGGCACCACATGCCATGCTGGTCCCATGCTGAGAGGGCCACTGAAACAGGGTGTGGTGGCCCATGCCTGAAATATCAGCACTAGAGAGGATGAGATAGGAGGAATACTACAAGTCTGAACTGCAAAGCGAGACCCTGTACCAAATGAATAAATAAAAGATTTAAAAAATTAAAAATAAAAAGGAAAAGCTACAACATACAAACTTTAAGCAGGGATATCTTTTCCTTCTTTCTTCTTCTTTTTTTTTTTTTTTTTGGTACCAGGAATTGAGCTCAGGACCTTGTGCTTGCCAGGCAAATGCTTGTGTCACTAAGCTGTATCTCGGCCCTTTTCTTTCTTTTTTAGAGAGAGGTGAACTCTCTTTTCCAATGGGAAATTCATATTCTATACCAGTGTACTATCTTGCTTGTATCTGAATAGGTCCAGGTCACTTAACACTTTGTATGATGTATTAATTCTTGCTTTTATTTGGAGGAACTCCACTTACAGTAGGCCCTTATGAACTCAATTTGTTCCTGAAGCCTGGGTGTAACTTAATTTGTCAGCTGAAGGCTCAGGCTCCTCCTCCACAGCCTTCAAAGCCTGCCCTGTATACAGGCAGATCTCAGGGCCCTTAGAGAGATATTAGCCCAAGATTTCTCAATGATCCCCTATACAGGAAAGGATGCTGTAATGTTTCTTCCAGAACATTTTAAGGGTAAAAATAAATAAATCAGCATTTGAGACCACCTGGAAGCATGAGTGGCTGGCACTCAGGTCACAACTCAAGACTTTGGTCTTAAGTTAAAATGGCAGTCATAAGTTGTTCATATGTCAAGCTGGTCATAATTTGAGGGTCCACAGAATTTAACATTCTCTATGTGCCAGGCCCTGTGATAAGCACCTTATATAGTATTACAACCACCCTCCCATGAATTCAAGTAATGCTGCATTTTAAAAAAAGAGGTGACACAATTTACTCAGCTATCACAGACAAGTGGCAAACCTATGAACTGAACTCATAAGTCTTTGCTTTATTCATTTACTACATGACTACTTATGATCTGAAGAAAACATACCACCACCAAGATTTGGGAGTGACTATAGCCTAGCTGAGGAAGCAGCAGATAAACCAACTTTTGTTAAAAGCAAAGAATATTGTATCTACTTCAAGCATATATAAACTATTGGTATTATTAAGAATTAGAATTCTTAATTAGTAGAATTGTGGAAGTTAAACATGCTAAAATTCTTACATGGTCAAGGTGTTTCCATTCATCAGCCCATTCCCTCTCAGTCAAACGGTGGTCTACCAATTCATCCTGATAACCTCCATTTAGACCTATTAGAAATTAGAGATTAGAGTTCAATATACTAGTAAGGGAATGCTTCACAATGGGACAAGGGATCACAAAAATGCTATAGCCAAGTAAGGATATGTACAGAGATTATACAAAATATGATCAAAATACACAGTGTTTATTATTATTTATTATTATGATTATTATTTTGCAGAACTGGGGATTGAACTCAGCCCACATATTGAGCCATCTCCCTGGCCCCCATGGTGAGTGCTTAAATTTAAAAATTTACTACAGTAAGACGTTGCCATAACCCTCCTCAAAATACTTACCTTTCATACACACTTATCCCAATATTCTTACTACTTTATCATACAGTTCTGGAAGTCCTCCTTTGTGATAAAAAATATAGCGAATTAGCAGGGCATGCTGGCAAATGGATGCAATCCCAGTACTTACGAGGTTGAGGTGGAAGGCGTACAATGAACTGCAGGTCAACTTAAACCACTGAGACAGTCTCAAAACACACACACACACACACACACACACACACACACACACACACACACACACACAGCCAGGCATATAGCTCAGCAGCACAGTGCTTGACTGGCAAGTGTAAGGTTCTGAGCTTAATCTCTGGTACAAAAAGAAAAAGATATCAAGGAAGCCATCACAGTACAACTGAAAACACAAGTGAAAAAGCACTTTCAGGAGCCTGGGTATATAGCTCAGTGGTGCAGTGCCTGCCTGGCAAACATGATGTCCTGAGTTTAACTCCTGGTACCTGCCCACAAAAGAAAAGATTTCCATAACTGCTTCAGAGTGTGACCAGAAGGACAGGATAATTGTATTCAACACTAGGGAAAGTACTTTGAGGGAGGATTAATGGTACTATGTTTTTTTTTTTTCTTTTTTTGTGGAACTCAGGGATTGAACTCAGGACCTTGCCAGGCAAGCACTTATTCTACTGAGTCATCTCCCCAGTCCCCAAAAGTAACATGTTTTCTTAAAAGAAATCTCACCATATTCTTTGATCAAACTATGTATAGCATTCTAATAAATCAAATGTGAAAGACAAATAGTCTGAAAGAAAAACAGGCAAAAGAAATAAATAACATGTCTCAGACAAGAAAGTATACAAAAGGGCCGGCAAAATAGCTCAGAGGACAAGTGCCTGCTGAGACAAGCATGGAGACCTGAGTTTGATCTCTGGCAACACATGCTGCCCCAGCCTCGCCTCTGGGGCACACTAAGACAGCCACCAAGTCTGGGTGTGGTGGCCCACACCATTAATTCCAGCGCTGGGGAGGCTGGAAACAGGAGGATCACTATGAGTACAACATAGTGAGGCCCTATACGAAATATATTTTTTTAAAAAAGGTACACATAGTTCATGAACATTAAAAGTTTCCAATTGGATAGCATTTAGCATCAAATATACCATACCAGAAAAAATTAAGATGTCAGATAATACTAAGTGTGGGCAAAGACCTACAATATAAATGCTTAGGGCTAGGGAGATGGCTCAGTGGAATAAGCGCTTCCCTGGCAAGCACAAGGGCCTGAGTTCAATCCCCGGTTCTGCAAAAATAATAATTTAATATATTATATGTAACACACACACACACACACACGCATGCACGCTTAACCACCAATATGAGATCCTTCTACCTTAGCCTTCTGAGTTCTGGGATTGCAGACATGTGCCACTGTGCCCCACTCATTCACTGTATTTTTGATCACAAACGAGGACTTCTAGAACTGTTTTTTTGTTTTGTTTTGTTTTGTTTTTTTGGCGGAATCGGGGATTGAACTCAGAGCCTTGCGCTTGCTAGGGAAGCACTTATTTCACTGAGCCATCTCCCCAGCTCCTAGAACTGTTTGATAAATTGGCAAGAACAATGGGATAAGTGCGTTGGAAAGGGAAGTATATACAATATATACATATTGTCATATGTATTGAAATAGCAGAGTATTGCCAGTATTTGATACACACTGAAATTTCTAGGAATGCAACAACTCTTATGAATACTCAAATAAGAGTTGACCAGTTGTTTTTTTCTGGTACCAGGAACTAAACTCAAGGCCTCACGCTTGCCAGGCAAGTGCTGTGGTATATATACAGTTGACCAGTATTTTAATTTTGGGGGAGGGGGATTGGGACTTGAACCTTGTGCTTGCCAGGCAGGTGCTTGTACCACTAAGCTATCTCCCCAGCTCTTGACCAGTATTTTAAGAAACTCTATTGGGGCTAAGGAGATGGCTCAGTAGAATAAACGCTTCCCTGGCAAGTGCAAGGGCCTGAGTTCAATCCCCGGTTCCGGAAAAAAAGAAAAGAAAAAGAAAAAGAAAAAGAAAAAGAAAAACTCTACTTACATTTAACAACACTGCTTATGATCTTTGAATGATAACATTTCTGTTATCTGCTTCTTTCACAGTACTAACATACTGTTTATTGTGTTATTGTAATACATTTGCTTTTCTGTGGTGAGGACTGAACCCAGGGTTTCTAACATGCTAGGCAAGTGCTCTATCTTTGAGGTATACCTCCACCCAGCATTTTGTTATACATTAAAGTTAGGACAAATAAAATAAAATGAACAAAATAAAATAAAAAAATAAATACAGTTAGGTCAGAAAGTTGACCCTAAGTTATGGAACTGAGGTAGACGTTATGGTATCCTTAAATTTCATTTTAAGAGAGCAAAAGAAGTGATACATTTGTTTAGAAAATGGGGTTGCACAATGAGTGGTTTGGTAAGTGCTAAGAACCATTATAAGGCACATATTTTCATATGGGTCTGATGAGCTTAGCAGACTAATGGTTGAAGAAAACTAAGAGAAACCATGAAGGTAGATGATTAATAGTATGCTTTTTTTTTTTTAAAGTATGCTTTAAATTGGGGGAAAAAAAAAGTTTTCTTTTTTTTTTTTTGTTCCCCTTGAGACAAGGTCTCAATATGCAATGCAGGTTGGCCTTAACTTTATGTATCCCAGGCTGAATTTGAATTCCTGGTAAGCCTCATGGTTTAAGCCTCCTCGGTGCTGGGATTACAGGCATATGCCACTACATCTGACTAAAAAAGATTTTCTAAAACTGTTAGAAATACAAATAAAAAACTGGAACTCAGTTATATGCTGTTGGCTATGCTTCCTTTATATCTCATCTTTTTGATTTTGTTTTGTACCAGGGATGAACTCAGGACCTTACACTTGCCAGGCAGACACTTACACTGAGCTATCTACCCAGACTTATAGTTCATCTTTAAAAAGGAAAGAGATTGGACGTGGTGGCATGCGCCTGGAATCCCAGCTCTTGGAAGGTTGTAAACAGGCAGACCACTATGAGTCCAATTTAGTAGTAAGACCCTGAACACCCTGTAGACCCTTCCCTAAAATACAAAAAAGGAAGTAGGGCTGGTGAGATAGCTCAGCTGACTAAAGTGCCTACTTAGGCAAGTGCAGGGACATCAATCCAATCCCTGGCACCACATGCTGCACCAGCCCCACCCCTAAAGCAGGCTGAGAGACTGGGTGTGATGGTGCATGCCTGTAATCCCAGTGCTGGGGAGACTGAAAACAGGAGGATCACTGAGTCCAGGCAGTGTAGTGAGACCCTGTAACAACCAAATACATTAAAAAGAAAGGAAAAAAAAAAGAAGTAACAGCAGCTTGGGACTTCAGTGGGTGTGGTAGCTAAATCTTATTAACCACTGGTGGCTGGGAATACCACTTCTTTCATGGCCATTCAGTTACCATTGTCCAAAGACAACTCTCAAAGTCCTAGTCAAATGGGGAAAAAGCAATTCTATCACTTTTTTTACTCTATAGGGTATACCACAAATGGAAAAGCAGAATCCTGGGAAGGGCTCAGCCCCTTGTTTACTCGCACATGCTCAACAGGTAAACTCCCAAGAAGCTTCTTCAATAAATTTGTCTGAATACATGGGAAAAAAAAAGCCCTGCCCAAAATAGATCTCAGACTAGGAAAAAGTTATTCTTGTTTTTGTTTCTTTCTAAACAGTATTAAGGGTCCAAGCCAGGGAGACAGCGCAGTGGCATAAGCACCTGCCTAGCAAGCTCAAGGTCCCAAGTTCAATACTTGGTACAAACAAACAAACAAAATGGTCCATGCTTCAAGCATTCCAACTGAACAAGAAGCACAGATAGTAGGGTCATCTCCATTTTAGTAATTACTGCCCTGGGGTGAGAGCCTAAACAATACCTTAAGCCACCATTTAAGTGTCAATATGCTAACTCCTATCTGCATAGTTTCACCTTCAAGATCACATTTCACATCTTTGTAAATTTTTTTTTTTTGCAGAACCAGGGATTGAACTCAGGTCCTTGCACTTGCCAGGGAAGCGCTTATTCCACTGAGCCATCTCCCCAGCTCCATCTTTCTAAATTTAAAAACTGTTCTTATTCAAAAATGTGGGGCTGGGGAAGATGGCTCAGTAAAATAAGCGCTTCCCTGGCAAGTGCAAGGGCCTGAGTTCAATCCCAGTTCGGCCAAAAAAAAGAATTCAAGCTTTCAGAAATTTCAAGAGTAATAAAAAAAATTACCATATACCTTTCATATATATTTCCCAAGTGTTAATACTCTATTTCACTTGCTGTTCATTATTTTGTTCTGACCCATTTCAAAATATGTGATGCCCCTTAATTCTTCAGTGCATTTAGGAGAATTTGTTCAGTTTTAGTCTCATTATATTTATTTGGTTGCTTTTTCAGACCTCCTTTTGAAAATATACTTTTAGCATATGAGGATAATGAAAAGATATGAAGTGAGTTCAATTATCAAATGAGAGAAGCTATAATTGTAATATTCTTCTATGAGGCATGTATGTGTGTGTTACTGGGACTTGTACTCAGGGCCTTTGTACTTGGCTACATTTCCAGCCCTTTCATTTTTTGTAGTACTGAGGATTGAACCTAAGGCCTCTGAACCTAGCTACAACCCGTATCCTTATTTTTATTTTGAGATAGGGGATTGCTACATAGTTTAGACTGGCTTTGAATTCACTATGTAGCCTAGGCTGGCCTTGACTCCAGGCAGTGGCAATCCTCCTGCCTCAATCTCCCAAGTACTGGATTGAAGGCCTTTGGGACCATGCCCGGTTATTTTTATTTTATCAGCGGGGTGGGGGGAGCAATGACGACATTTGATTTTTTTCACTGAGTAGGAAAGAAATGAAAGTATTCTGTCTCAATTTAAAGCATTACTATGATGGGCCAGGGAGATAGCTCAGTGGAATAAGTATTTTCCTGACAATTGCAAGGGCCTGAGTTCAATCCCCGGTTGGGGGGGGGGGGAGGACACGACATTACTATGCTATCTAGATCACTTACTGAGATTTTGGTGCCTCTCACGAATTTCCCGATGTTCTAGCATCTTGGTAGGTTCCCGATACAGATGGGAAGTTGCAATATCTTCTAAGGTGTAATGCTGAAGAGGTGGAGGAGTAGGATGAAACTGTCCGCCAGGGTTCATAAGAGGCACAGTGAGAGCAGGACTATGACGAGGAGCAGGGCTGATGGTACACACTCTCTTGGCAGGGGGTTCAGGAGGAACGGTATCTCTGTCAAAATTACCTTCTTCTCTCCTGAGGAACCAGACACATAAGTATCTTAGCCTGTCAACAAGCATTCATGTAGACATTTCCTGAACACTGATCTGTTATGTATTGTGCTACATAGAGCATTTTTCTAAGAAGAGTAAGAAAGAGTTTTGTTTTTCCAACACTGGGGATTGAACCTAGGTCCTTGCACATGTTACACATATACTTTACACTAGCCATGTTTCTAAGGAAAGATTTATTCCCCCACTTTTGGGTACTGGGGATCAAATTCATGACTTTCCATTTGCCAGGCAGGCACATATGCTGCTGAGCTATCTCCTCAACCCTATTATTTGTTTTTTGGTAGGTTTGGTTTTTGTTTTTGGACATTTGAGACAGGGTCTCCCTATATAATTAAAGCTGATGAAAGAGGCTCACTATGTAGTGCAAGCTGCCCTAGAGCTCACTGTGATCCTCCTGTCTCAGTTTCTCAAGTGCTAAGATTACAGGTGTGTTCTTGAAACAGGGTCCTCATTATGTAGTTCAGGCTACCTTCAAACTCCTGGCAATCCTGCCTTAGCCTCCTAAGTGCTGGCATTATAAACATTTACTACCATGCTCAGCCTGCGGGTTGTTTGTTTGTTTGTTTAAGGTAGAGTCTCTATGTTGACCAGGAAGACCTTGAACTCTTAGGCTCACGTGATCCTCTTGTTTAAGCCTCTGAAGTAGCTGGGACTAAGGAGTTGTTCTATCATGCCCAGCTTAGAAAATGTTTGATGTGAAGCATAAATTAAATTGTCTTGGGCTGGGGAGATGCCTCAGTGGAATAAGCGCTTCCCTGGCAAGCGCAAGGGCCTGAGTTCAATCCCTGGTTCCGCAAATAAATAGTCTTCAGGAACCAGGCAAATTCTGTAAATTGCCTTTTTTTTTCTCCTGATTTAAAAGTTGGACATGATGGCATACATTGGTAATCCCAGCACTTGAGAGGCTGCGGCAGGAAGACTGCCATGAGTTTGAGGCCAGCCTGGGATATAAATCAGAAATACAGCACCTGCCCGAGGCGAGCCTGAACTACATAACAAAACCCAGTCTCAAAAACAAACAAACAAATTTTTGATTTATTCCAGCACTAAGAAAGAAGTCAATAGTCCATAATCAGGCAAAAACTTCTAACTGTAATGAGGTAATAAAATACTAATCAGATGACCACATTTTTCTATGAGATAGAAACATGGAGGGAAAAAAAAATATGGAGGGCTGGGGAGATAGTTCAGCAGTTTAAGCACCTGCCTGGCAAACACAAGGTCTTGAATCCCAGGTGAGGGGAGGGAGGGGGAGAGAGGGGGAGAGGGAGAGAGAGGGGGAGGGGGAGGAGAGAGAGAGAGAGAGAGAGAACACGTAAGAATGGCTGGGTAGTGGCACACAACTGTGACTAAGGCAGGACTTTAATAAACTTATTTTTTGAAGAGAGTCATATTACAGTTTAGGCTGGCCTCCTACTTTCTATATAGCCTAGGCTAGGCCTGAACTTACATTCTTCTTGCCTTAGTTTCTTGAGAGCTAAAATTATGCAAAGATACCCAGTTTGGGAACGAACAATTATTACACAGAGGAAGAAGGTTCATATAATGAATCCTCTTGTGAATTAGTGGCTTTCATGCATGTCTAAGAGTACTAAATTTTCCACTGTTGTTAAAATATTGTTTCTTTGATAACTAAGGAATACTGTGGTAGCCACCAGTCATGCTGTGAAATATAGTATTAGTCTTCATCCTTTTGCCTGGCATACTAACTCCCAAAGTCCTTGGAATTTTTGAAGCCTGGGATCTGCTAGTAAGGTAGCTGATGGCTGGCAGTCCTTAGCACAGGGGACAGTTAAGGAAAGGACCATGGCAGAATTAAAAGGATTGGAACTTTCAGCCCTACTTCTCACACTGTGGGAGATGAAAGAGGCTGGAAGGTCAAGTTAATCATCACTGGTCAAGGATTTAATAAATTGTGTCTATGTAATACAGGCTCAAAGGGAGGGGACGCAAATCCAAGAGCTTCCAGAGGGCAGAAGAAGCATGGAAGCTCAGTTTTTCCTTCCTGGTACTCTGTCCTATCCATTCCTCATCCTATGTTTATCAGTATTATGTATAATAAATACCTTTTATAATAATCCAGGAAAGGATAGTGTCTCCCTGAGTTCTGTGAGCCAGAAGAGAAAATCAAACTTGAGGGTGTTATAGGAAGCGAGACTTTTAGCTATTCAACCGCATGGACAAAAACATTCTAGAGGGGCCAGGGAGATGGCTCAATAGAATTAGCGCTTGCCTGGTAAGTGCAAGGGTCTGAGTTCAATCCCCAGTTCTGCAAAAGCAAAGAAACAAACAAAAACAAAAACAAAAACAAAGGGTATAGACTCTTCTTAAAAAGACTGGGAAAAGAAGATCAACCTTGGGGAGCCTTTTAATCAAGATGGAGGCAAAGGCAAAGAAGGAAGCCCCTGCCTCTCCCAAAGCTGAAACCAAAGCAAAAACTTTGAAGGCCAAGAAGGTCGTGCTGAAAGGCATCCACAGCCAAAAAAAAAAAAAAAAACAAAAAACGAAATGTAGCCTACCTTCCACCATCCCAAGATACTCGTGACTCCAGAGGCGGCCCAAATACCCTTGGAAAAGCGCCCCCAGGAAAAACAAGCTAGACCACTATGCCATCATTAAGTTCCCCCTGATCACAGAGTCAGCCATGAAAAAGATCAAGGACAATAACACACTCATGTTTATTGCGGATGTCAAAGCTAATAAGCACCAAATCAAACAAGCTGAGAAGCTCTATGACATCAATGTTGCCAAGGTCAATACCCTAATAAGGCCTGATGAAGAGAAGAAGGCACATGTTTGACTGGCTCCCGATTATAATACTTTGGATATTGCCAACAAAATTGGGATCATCTAAACTCAGTCCAGCTGGCTAATTCTAAATATATACTTTTTTCCCCCAGTAAAAAAAAAGGGGGGGGGGAGCGGAGAGATGGCTCCGTGGAATAAATGCTCTCCTGGTAAGCGCAAGGGCCTGAGTTCAATCCCCAGTTCCTTAAAAAAAAAAAAAAAATCAACCTTGGAAAGTTGTTTTTTGTTTTTGTTTTAACTCCCCCCGTTTTCCCTTTACTGGTATATTCTGGATATACATAATGATGACATTCATCATAGAGAATTTATGCCTGTACACAGTATATGTTGCTTTTTTTTTTTTAACCTTGTAGCGTTTTATTTTTTATTTATTTTTATTTTTTTTGCCGGAACCGGGGATTGAATTCAGAGCCTTGCGCTTACTAGGGAAGCGCTTATTCCACTGAGCCATCTCCCCAGCCCCTATCTTGCTTCTTTTTCTTCCCATTTCCCACCCCTCTGTTCAGCCCCTCTTCCTCTCCTTATTTACAAATCAGCTATGGAAAGTCCTGCATTACTCATCTACAACTCCAGCAATCAAATTATTTCTTTTATAAGCAAAGGGAGAAATTAGAAGTTCTAGAAAAGGAAGGACAACAAATTTCTTCTCACCTCTCTGGACTGGGCCTCTTCCCATTTCCGTGCACCTCCATGAGCAGCTCAGAAGAGTCGGCAGGAGATGCGATACTGGTGTTAAGCAGAAGGTGTTCGTGCTGGGCCAGGTACTGGGATGGGGTCTGCTTGGCAGCCCGAGCACAGTGCAGCAGTTCTCGCTGCAGCAGGGGCAAATTGGCCTTGAAAAGAAGAGGCAGTATTCCCAGTGCAGGGCTCTATACAACAGGGATTAGCACCTCAAAGGGCTTTCACAATGTAGGTAACACAAGACAAAGCACTGCTCTGCAAGTCAGTAGCATTCTCATTAGCCTCTTTTGTAAGGTGATATCTAGTATCCTGCAATTGAATTACTGGTTAACTTGTTTCTGGCCCTACAAAGATGTAAATGCCCTAAAGAACTGTGCCTTATTCACCTTTCTTTGTGGTTAGTAGCCAAATCTCAATGCAAATTTTTTAACATAATAATCTGAAAAGACAAAAGTTTGGTCAGTTAGAAAGTTGTTACCACCTACATGTAAGTAGGAGAAATTCATTCTCAGCTCTACATTACAACACCTGACTTCTCTTTTCTGAACCCAATCCCATCTCTGACAGCATTGTTTAATCTCCTGTTCTTTGGAGAGCTACTCTACAATTTTGGATATTGGGATCCAAACTATTTGGAAGTTTTTTTGTTTGTTTGTCTTTTTTGGTTTTTTTGAACATGGGGTTTTGAAAAGGAGTATGAGAAGTAATATAATCTGTAAAAATGAGAATTATTAAATTATACACTAATATTTTTCTTTAACTCATACTCAGCAAACCTTTAATGGGAACAAATCATTAAAAAATCCCTTTATTCACCTTTTAAATTTCAGAAATTTTTTATCAAGAAAAGCATAAAGAAAAATTATATTTTTCTCCCTAATTTAAATATAATGCAAGCTGAGCCCATAATAGAAGACTTTAGCTCAAAGGACAGACTAAAATTTAAAAAAAGAGAGACAGAAGAGGATTTTAATACATGCAAGGAGTCATCCCTTCACTGAGGGTTAATTTAGCAGGCATCATAATTAGTGACTGTTTTAAAGAATTGACAAAACCCAAGATGCTAGCCAAAAAGCTGCCATAACAACCTACTTCATGCTGTTTTCCAAAATAATAGAGTTATGAACAGGGAATTTGAAAATATAAAACATTTTTATGTCTGTTTTGTAACTGCAATTAGGTTGAATCTGTAAAACCTTACTTGAAAAAAAATATTTCATCGGACCTTTACATTTGTGACATGTGCTTTGGTGACTAAAATGCTAATTATTTTCTATTAACACACATTTCAGAAATCTAAGTGTTTAAGAAGCTTGGGGAAATAAGTGTGGCTTTGACCAAAAAGTGGGGGGAGGGACAACGAGGGGGGAGGGGGAGGGGGAGAGACAGACCTTGTATGTGTCTGGAAAAGGCCACGGGTTGCTCAGGGCCAGAGGGCTCTAAGCTGTTAGAACGGAGCAAGGCATGGGCTGTGCACCTTGGATCTGGGCGTTTTCCTGTTTATTATGCTCTAGTTCAAAACATTTTTGTAATTTTTGTTGTTGTTGTTGCAAAGCAGAAGATGAAACCAAGGACCTCCCACATTAGAGAACCCTCTACCAATGAGCAACAGTCCACTCCCTCAGAACATTTTAAAATCTGGTTATCAGCACTTTAATGAGTCATTTTTTGGATACTATGACATTTTCTTAGGAAATAGGCAGGTGAAAGAAAAGGGAGCATATTTATTTGGCTAAAAAGTATTAGGCTTTGTGAATCAAGTGGCAAAAATTATAAGTGGGGCATAGTGACTCATGCCTGCAATGCCAGCACACAGGCTGAGTTAGGCGGATCTTGGGTTTGAGGCCAGCTTGGACTACTGGGACACCTAGTGAGCCCCAGTCTCAAAAAAATAAAGACAAAACAAATGGTGTACTGACAAAATTTAACATGTACTAACAACTGAATCCAGTTTTTTCTTTTTTTCAATGTCAATCTACTGCTAATGAAAAGAATGACTAGATACAGTGGTACACATCTATAAAGTGAACTACTTGGGGGTTCAATCCCCAGTAAAGACTGGGTATATGACAGCATTTAGCTTAACTTAAGTTCAAGTGAGTTATTTCTTATCACCAAGTCAATTACAAATGTTCACCTGTAAAACCCATTCTTAGCTCTATAAAACCAGGTTATGGACTAGATCTGGATCATGGTTTACTCAACCTGATTGACAGCAAACTGGTTATCTGACTAGTCTTTTCATTGTCCTTGAGCTATTTTATAACTCTGTAACTTTTGGTACCAGGGATCAAAATCAGGACCTTGCGCTTGCCAAGGAGGCACTTGTGCTGCTGAGCTATATCCCCAGCCCTAACTCCAACTTTCATATAAATGATATTGGTGTAAAATAATTACTGCCTACAAGCATACAAATAATGTCTGTGAGAAATTCAACTGATTTTCTCTGCCCATTGTAGAAGACGTTAGTTTCGCTTGTGTTTGTACAGTTTGATCTGTAAATATGTCTGCTACCTGGATGTTCCTCTGGACTGGGCTGTGACATCTTATTGTTTTGTCATTAATTATGAGTTCAATAAAATTCTTTTTTTTTTTTTTTTTTTTTTGGTCATTTGAAACGGGGTTTTATTCAGCCTGGCATGGTGGTGTGTGCCTGTAATCCTAGCACTAGGATTACACGCATGCACTACCATGCCAGGCTGAATAAACTCTCTGAGCTTCATTTTTTCTTTCTTTTTTTTTTTTTATCTGTATGAATCATAATGTTACCTACTTTGAAAATTACCATTTAATTGGTGAAAACAGTAATTTTCAGTGGGAAAGCATGGCAGACACTAACTTTACAAAGTAACTAAGGTCTACATTCTTAATGATAGAAAAATTACTACTTGTGTTTTTTTTGTTTGTTTTTTTGTTTTTGTTTTTTTTTTGGGGGGGGCGGAACCAGGGATTGAACTCAGACCCTTGCACTTGCCAGGGAAGTGCTTATTTCACTGAGCCATCTCCCTGACCCCTGCTACCTGTGTCCTTTGAAGCATATAGTGATACCTTTTACCTATTCCTGCCAAAAAATGCTTCACCTGATTCTCATTATGAGAAAGTTTCAGAACAAAACAGAGATGCACTTTATAAAACAACCGGGCGTGGTAGTGCTTGACTACAATCCCAGCACTTAGGAGGGTGAGGCAGGAGGATTACTGCCAATTCCAAAGCCAGCCTGGGCTACATAATGAGGTTGTTTTTTTTTTGTTTTTGTTTTTGTTTTAAGTTTTAACAGATAGAGCAGAATAATCTTGAATTCTAATTTCAAATTAATTCTTTCTTTCTTTCTTTCTTTCTTTCTTTCTTTCTTTCTTTCTTTCTTTCTTTCATACTGGGTCTACAGTACATAATGAATTTAAGACTGGCTTAAGCTACACAACAAAAACCTGTCTCCAAAAACCAAAATAACTCAAAACGTGAATGGGACTACTACAGATCAGACAAGCAGTACTATAATTCCTTTCTTCTTCCTACTCTCCCTCTCCATTTCCTAAGCATTGAGCCCAACTTGCACTGAGCTATATCCCCAGCTTTATATTTTTTAAGACAGGACCTTCCTAAGTCACTACACTGCCCAGATAGGGCTTCAACTTTTGATCCTCATGCCTCAACTTCATCAAATATTAGGACTATAGGGATGTGCCACCACATCAGGCTTCAATATTATGTCTGCAGTTTTTTCCCTCTCTGATACTAGGAATTGAACACAGGCCCTTCACACTGAACTGTATCTGCAGCCCTTTTTTCAAATTTTTTTTTTCAGATTTGTCTCACTAAATTTCAAAGTTGCCCAGGCTGGGCTAAAATTTGTTAATTCTCTTGTCTCAACCTCTTAGAGTACAGGGAGCAGTGACAAGTACAATGCCTGGCAGCAGTCTATTCTCAAACATTTCTGAAGAAAAACAATATAATGGAAGTGTGGTAAAGTGTTAACATGTGGAGAATCTGGGTGAAGGTTATAGGGGAAATTCTATTGTACCATTTTTGCAGCTTATCTGTGTGAATAAAATAGAAAAAAAAATTAAAGACCTATATTCCATATAAATATAATACTACCTTGCATATCAAGTAAAAACAATGACTTAGAAGAGTGACCCCCAGGGGGCCAGGGAGATGGCTCAGTAGAATAAGTGCTTTGGGTTTCTGTTCAGTCCCTGTTTCTACCCCCTCAAAAAAAAAAAAAAAAAAAAAAAGAGAAGAGTGCCCCCAAAAGTTAAGTTTTTTTTTTTTTAAATTTTATTTATTTGTGTGTGTGTGTGTGTGTGCGCGCGCTCGCGCGCGCGCGCAGCCAGCTCAGCCCACCGGGGGCGGGGCTGGCTGGCATGTGGTGCTGGGGGATTGAACCGCGGTCCCTGTGCTTTGCTAAGCTTGTTCCAAGTAGGTGCTTTAGACCACTGAGCCATCTCACCAGCCCCAAAAGTTAAGTTTTAAGAAACAGTAATTTTAAGAACATTGTGAAGACTAGACTAAACAGGACTTGGGGAGACACAAATGCTGTGTTGCATTTATGGTCATATCATTCAACCTCAGGATTAGTCCAAACCTCAGAGGTCTCCTTGTTGATAGCCTCCACTTAATATAACACACACTTTCTTCCCTCTGGTCATAATCAAAAGAGTTAGTGACCAGCAATCTCTTCAGCATCCACCTACCCCCACACCTCCAGCTCACTCATCTTTTCCTCTGGAACCACTTGTCCTTGTAGGCATTACCAACAGTGCACAAAGAGCACAACTCAAGGCTTCTACAATTCTTATCTCCTCAAGGAGGAGGCCTATTTGCAGAATATATTCACATCTCTCTACTAAGTCCAAAATAAAATAAATATATCAGAATGTGGCAAGCCACTCTGATCTCAACCACATTAACAGGGATCAGTAGACACTTCACACACTTCACGAAATACTGAAGATAAATTATTCAGTAATTACCTTGAGAAATGGAATCACAAAAGGACGAAGAGGAAAATTTGTGGCCTCTTGGAGCTTGCAATGGAATTCTTCAATAGTCACTGTTGAATTCTATAAAGATAAACAATGTTATTAAACTTTAAAACTGGACATCAACTCACACAAGAACACTTTTAAATCATAAGGAAAATGATAGTTTCAAGGACACGATTGTGAACATGGATCCTAGTCAAAGATGAGCTAAGCCAGGCATGGTGGTGCACACATTTGGTGACTAAGGCAAGAGTACGGCCTTGAGTTCCAAGCTAGCCTGTGCTACATAGTATGACCCTATCTCAAAAAAAAAAAAAAAAAAAAAAAAAAAAAAAAAAAGTGAGTCAAATTGTTTCCTTAATGACAGAAATGTTGACTTGTTTATTCTCATCTCCACATTCCTAACCCAACTCCCTATCCTCACCTGTCCACCTGTGTTACAGAAGAGGCTTCTCATATCTCCATGGGAAGAGTTCAGAAGTTTAGAAGAAAAGAAGAGCAAAAGGTGCCTTTTGTCCTCAAGTGCTCTGTGTGCACATCAGAGTAAGACAAAGTGGGCAAAGGACTATCAGTCAAGGTTTTATTACCCTCAGGAAATTTACTATCACTTCTGCATTTTCTCAAAGTCTAGGCTTTAAAATAGAAATGAATCTCAGCCAAGGGTAATAAGCAAGTGAAAATATTTTTCTTCAAAGTTTATAAAATATTTTTATTTCAATTTCTTAAAGTAATATAGTAAACTAAAATAAAAAGGAAGAAATTTAAACATTTATTTGGGGGAAATACTGGGGATTACTAAACTATATCTTCAGCCCCACCTCACTCCCCTCCCCTTCTTTTTTTAAAAGAGGCCGACAGTTCTTTGAACTCTTTTTTTTTTTTAATGTGTGTGTGTGTGTGTGGCCAGCTCAGCCCACCAGGGGGCGGGGCTGGCTGGCATGTGGTGCTGGGGGATTGAACTGTGGTCCCTGTGGTTTGCTAAGCTTATTCTAAGTAGGTGCTTTAAACCACTGAGCCATCTCACCAGCGCCCCCCCCCCTTTTTTTTTGAGATAGGGTTTCACTATGCAGTTCAGGCTGGCCTTGAACTTACTTTGTAGCCCAGGCTGTCCTCCAACTTGAAGTGATCCTCCTGCCTCAGCCTCCAGAGCACTGGGATTATAGGCGTGTGCCACCATGCCTGGCAACTATACCTAATTTAACCATATTACATGAAAATATTTAAACATTATCTTTCATAACAAAATTCTTCTCAGCATCTGTAAACCATTTTTTTTAAGATTTAAAATTTCTGAATTTAGTTCAACTTATAATACCACATTTCTAAGAAAAATGAACCTTTTGCAAAAACATGTATAAACCATTTTTTGCAAAAAGTTGAGTACTTCAATGAAAAAAAAATTGAGTACTTGTTTGAAGTATGTGACACTTGTAAATTGAATCAAACTGGTTTGTAATTTTAGTAGTCAGGAATAAAAAAAGCCTCTGATGAAGGGGGAAAGATAGCTCATTACCACAGTTTTATTGAAGATGCTTAGTATGACGGTTACTGTCTAAAAGTTTCTGCCTTGCACTGTTACTCCTTTCCTGTTCTTGGGCTAGACAGAGGCACTTAAACTTGTGCTTACTGGTATTTCCAAGTTACCAGTTTCTGCACACTCCAATCCAAAATATATTAGTAAAAACAAAACCTAGGTAACTCATTGCTATCTTGTTCTTTGGGTCCCATGGTCATCAGTGAACTATACTGTCTTCACTCTACCTTTGAGAGTCTTAACATATTATTATTTTTTCTTTCTTTTTTTTTTTTTTTTTTTTTTTTTTTTTTGTGGAACCGGGG